AAGAGTGATAACATAGCTTTATGGCTGCAGGCCAATGGAGAATCTTTTCAGATCAACAGTAGACCTATTAAACTATTCTGACCTTACGTATGGGATACTTAATAAGCACCTATATAACAGACTGCTGGAACAGATAAATGAGTACGTCATTATAATCTAACTTTATGAGCATTGCCAAAAGAGTTCCAAGAGTAAACCTTCACAGGTAGACACAAGGAAACTGTAACCCCAGGGATGACACCTACCTTGGGCACACTCTTCACACGAAACAGTATATTCTGGAAGGAGTGTCCATCATTGGCCTGCAGGACTACAACATCAGATGTGCTGTCTGAGCCATCGTGAGCATAGAGGAGGAGGCCCCTGGAGAGGTCATCCAGATGGAACTGATAGATCGGGGCTGCAGGGGCTGGAAGCGTTTGGAGCAATTGGCCATGAAGTGGAGGATCAAGCACTGTCACCACCACATCCTGTGGGTTGTCATCATCCCGGATGTCAAGCAGCTGGGTGGTGATGGCTGCCTGCTCTCCTTTGCTGATGTGGAGAACCTCATTTCTCAGCACGTATGGGGCCTGTGGAGTTGAAGGCAGTGGGAAGAAGGGCCATTTAACAGGTTAAGGTAGGATAAGACAGCAGTGTGCCGAACTTGATTAAACTCCTTCAAGAAAATAACAAAAGTGCCAACCTATTCCATGAAAAAAATATTTGTCAGAGGTGGAGTGGGCCATAGTGATCAGGGTTATTTCATGCTTCTGGATCTGAGGTTTCTCAAGCCACTTCAAAACCAATGCAAATAACAAATACCAAAACCAACACAATACAAAACCAAACCAAACTTGATACAATACAATCTGCAAGTGCTACTTGTTTTTTGAGTTTCTAATTTCTCAGTCATCACCATACCATCTGTATTTGCACAAGAACACAGCTCAGTGTCAGGAAACACAATCAGATGTCTGAATCCAAGAGATATGCAATTCAGGGCCTCATGTTTGGGAGGCGAACACTTCACTCTAGGCCACACTACAACATGCTGACACAATGGCATAATTCCAGTCTCTGAATCCATGCTGTTACTAGTCTCTCCTGGTAACATTCTTCTACTTACATTCAAATCTTGGCAAAGTCCCACCCCAATTCAGCTGATAAAGCCATACAAGATCCAAGACATGGCCTGGTAAGACAACCACTTTCCTAATTCATGTGACGCTCCTAGCACAGCAAAAGTTAATATGTTTTCCTAAGAAATTTCAGGTTGTCTCTATTATCTTAGTGACCAAATAAATGTTCCTTCCCAGAGACAAAAGTTAAGAAACCACAGCAGAACACACACACACACACACACACACACACACACACACACATACATTAAGAGAGGGAAGAAGGAAGGTAGGGGGAGAGAAGGATAAATGGAGGAAGGCAGAGAGGGGGAGTGAGAGAGGAGAAGAGGAGAAAGAGAAGAAGGAAGGTAGGGGGAGAGAAGGAGAAATGGAGGAAGGCAGAGAGGGGGAGTGAGAGAGGAGAAGAGGAGAAAGAGGGGGGGCAGAAGCCAGGAAGTCAAGGAAATGTTATCCAAGTTTTTATGTTTGACGTCGAACTGTCTAGGATTTTCCTCAACATACTGCCTTCTTCAACCCAAATGGCTTTCAAAACTACACCAGCACCACACTCCCAGCTTCCTGGAAGTCACAATCACTCACCATCATAATATGCAACTAATCCAATCCACCACTATAATAGCCACTCTATGATACCCAGGTGAGAACTCTCACACTGTGTGTGAGCCTATGCAGAAAAATGAATAGACCCTCACACTCTGAAAGTGGAAAAGGTCGAGGATGATATAAAAAAATCTACCAACGGAACATACCAAATCAACAATGTCAGGGTCAAGAAGACAGTGAGATACTACACATACTTAAAATAACTAAAAGAAGTTAATCTTCCTTCTAAAATTCCATCTTCAAAAGGTTAAATTGATAAAAAGTGCATCACACAATAAGTAAAACTGAAACATGCTATTGTTATTTGTTCACTTGACTATGGGGAAACAAACAAAACCCAGGTATCTGTAGGAACACACCATCTCAGAGAAGGTTGTTGGTCAATATCTACCCAATATCGTTCACTGTAGTAGCCCAGATACAAAAAGCAAAACCAAGACATCTGAGTTTAAGAACTAAGAACACCTAGGCCACTGAGTCTCAAGACTGACTCGGCTTTTATAGAGTCACATGTGTTAGCTTTAATTAAATCAAGACTTATATACTTACCTTAGGACCAGTTTCTAATATCTCTTCAGTGATGTCGCCTCTGATGTGACAGTGTCATTAAGAAGAGCCGAGGCAGGTATCACTATCACATGGCAGTCAGTCCTGACTTAAGCTTATGCTGTTACTCACAGTATATGGCCAGTTTTACTTCGGGACTGAAGTTACCAGGTTTTGGTATTTGGTATATTGTTTCTGAAGATGGTATTTCACCCTCTTTCTGTTCAGTCAGTGTATGGAGATAAATATGTAAAACTAGGGTATCCTAGTGAGAATTCTACAGCTATGAGTGAGTATATATGTGAGTTTGAGTGTGTGTTTATTTATTTATTTTTGCACATTTCATCTATTAATTCGTTCTAGTCCAGCTTTTACTATGTATGGATTATGGACCTGGAATTAAAACTTCTCACGGCAGTGAGGAGAACAAAATGTCAAGGGCCATTTTCTTGAATTTCCTTGCCTCTTCAATGATTTCCTCGGGTCTATGTTTGGCTCTTAGCCATAGTGATGCTTCGATTAAGTAGATTCCTCATAGGATGCTTCAAGTACTGTAACTATTATACCCCTGAGAGGGGCTGTGAAGAGAAACAAACTACCCAAGAACAAAGAAAACACTAACAAGTGGGGCAGTTTTAGGTTATTCTGTACGTCTAGCATCAAGTTCAATTCATCAAGGTGCCAACAGGTAACAGTCTAGAACACAGACTGTGAAGCCAGCTCTCCAGACACAAACCTTGACTTTTATCAGCTACATCATCCCAGAAAAACAAGCTCATCTCCAGTCCCTTAGTTTTCTCATCTGTAAACTGGGGACACTATTTCACAGGATTGGCACACGATTTGACTCAGTATCACATGAAATACATACAGGCCAGAGATGCATGAGAAGAAGTTATTATTGTCAATGCTATTATCCAAAGAACTAAAAGTCAATCAAATGGCATTTCATGGTAAAACTATGAGAACATCACCCCAGCTCAATCATTTTCATTAAAGTTTCAGGAACTCTGCAATTGTTCTTGAGTACCAGTGGACATGGCAACTTGTGCATTGCTGGGCATTTTCATTACCTGAGTTGAAAATGCTTCTATGTTGATCAGCTGTGGCTCAGAGAAGAACTGCTGGTCACTAATTTTCAAGGAAAAGTAGCCTTTCCTAAGAGAGTACGCAAGGAAGAAGTGAGAGAACATGATCACTATATTTGTTTTGAGAGAGAAAAGGATTAAAGTATTTTCAAGCTATAGTCATACAACAATTTAGATAAAATCATTACAGTAATACAGTATCTGCATCGTAGACAGATGAAACTAATTAAACATCCTCCTCGTGGGGCTGCTCGGTGGCTCAGTGGGTAAAAGCATTTGCTGTCAAGCTGATGACCTCAGTTCCTCAAATCTCAAGGCAGAAGGAGATGACTGACCTTGAAAGTCACCTTCCCTGAGATCATTCATACACACACTCCCCCATCTCCCTCTTCCTGTCCCCACATACTCCCCCATCTCCCTCTTCCTGTCCCCACACACTCCCCCATCTCCCTCTTCCTGTCCCTCCTTCTTTCTCTCTCTCTCTCTCTCTCTCTCTCTCTCTCTCTCTCTCTCTCACACACATACACACACACACACACACACATATGCATGCACACAGGAAATAGACACCTTTGAAAATATTTTGTGTTTTAAGATCTTACTGTAACATAAAAATAACACAACTGGAGCTGGGCATGGTGACAAATGCCTTTAATCTCCCACCAATATTAGTGAGGCAGACGTAGTTGGGTCTCTGAGTTCAACGCCAGCCAACTAGTTCCAGAACACTCAGGGCCATACAGAGAAACCCTGTCTTAAAAAAAACAAAAAACAAACAAACAAAAAAAACCACACAATTGTTTTGTTTCATATTTTTAAAAGACACACACACACACACACACACACACACACACACACACACACACACCACACAGATTCCTTCTTGTGAGTGGACCCCAACAATGTTTGAAGTACTGGACTGCATAAAAACATTTCCAGCTTCTTGCCCTCTCCTTACACCCATTTACTGTGGATACAGCTAAGAAGGGATGGCTGAGTTGTCTCTGAAAAACTGGGAGTGGGCTGTTAGCCAAGAGGCAGTCTGACCATTTGACTATGGGTAATCATCAAATAGTATGTTGATGAGAATGTAAAACAAGGCCATCTGTAGGAAAGAGGTGAATGACAATGGAGTCCCACTTTCCTTTCCTAGTTCTAGCTCCGGAACTTACCTTGGAGCAATTGATCCTAATGTCATTGAGTATGAAGCACCTCTACAATGCTAGGGCTGTCTTATTACTAATTTTGCTTAGTCAAAATTGATTTCTACTACTTGTAACCAAAAAGACCCAATGAAGGCTCAGTCTATTGTGGTTTGACTTCCTACTTCAGATGTCTAATAGCTTCAGACCTTGTTAGGAGGGAAGGCAGAGTTGTTTGTCTTCAGCAACAAGCCAAGCACAGCTCAGTGCTGACTGTCGAAGTGTGTGATTAAAACATTATAAGAGATTATAGATTCTGGTTGATTTTGGGTGATGAAAAACCGGGTCACAATTACCAGAGACTGCGATGAAGGGAGTAATGATTTTTTTTTTTTTAAGGAGACCAGAGTAGGGTTGATGGAATTGTTTTCTATGTTGACTTTGATCGAAGTAACAACACTGTTTATGCTAATGGAACAGACACCTTAAAACAGAATTTCACTGGGAATTCTAGCTCTGTTATCATTAGACACCTTCTTGCTCTTTTATCAAGTTCTTCCTCCTTCCATTCTCCTTCCCATCTCAATGCTGCCCCTCCTCAGTCCCACCTCTAAGCTTCAAGAGAATGTGACCAATAGAATCAGTGGAGTGAACAAAGGAGGGACTGCAGTGTGGTGGCACTGAAGTCCCTCTAGGAGTGCTCAGTATCTCAGTTTCACCACAGTTGCTCTGGCTACATTAACAGATTGGCTCCTACTGCACAAGACTATTCTAAGCCCACAGAAACTCAATTCTCAAGAATTCTTATCTTAATCATGGCCCATGCTTTCATGAAGATGAAAAGAAACACACACATTATGCCAAATTGATTTTTTTGTTTCATTGAGAGACAAATAATTTTATGTTTTATGTGTCTCTCCCATTCTTGTTTTACTATTTTTGTCATTTCATTTGTTTGATATGTTTTAGATAAAGAAAATGATGCCAGAATTCCTAAATTGCTTAGTTTTATCCCATTTAGGAGTGCAAAGCTAATTCTGCAGGAAATTGGGTGACGTGTAGAAAAAGTTAAATAGACAAGAAGGTTAATTTTGGTTGTCTATGGAACTTTGCATTTTTCCACAAATGATTTCAAGGCAAATGGTTCCAGACTCAGAGCTTGTGTAGCTCTGTGAATGTGGTATGTGCATATGTGCACTCTTGTATGCATGTGTGTCTGTGTGTGGGGGGGAAAGATGCAGATACTTGAGAACTATATTATACTATCAACCAAAATAGGCACAGGTGGTGGAGAAGGATTTGGGGGAGTGGTTGGATGGCAGGAAACACTCCTCAGAAGTGTGAGCTTGTTTACAGCAATCCCCATCCCTTGAGGAGAGGAGCATGTTTGTCATCACTAGAATAGCAGGGAGACAGCAATCATTGTAGCTAAAGGCATGGTCTGGAGAGTCGGAGAGTGTTGGTTGGGAGGGCCAGCTCTGTACTTATTACTCATATTCTTCAGGCCGTAGAATGGGAACATGATTTACACAGCTCACACGGAGTGCTTAACATAATTCCTGGTTCAACAGGAGCACTCGATAAATGTTAGTTATGCTTGCTCCTATGATATGATCTGTGCAGATTACCAAAATCATCTCTGAACTATGATAGAAAAACCACCCTCTTTTTTCTTCCTATATATCTTTTAGCCTAAATCTCAACCAATCAATCAATAAAAGCAATAAGAGAAACATCCATGGTTAGTGTTAGCGGTAAAAAATATTCCGATGTGTCCTTATCCCTGCTTTGTGAGCTTCGATCCCTTGTCACACACAGTCTACGGTGAATTATCTGGGCTAACTAAGCAGATCACAGTGACAGAGGACACAGAGGCTAATTTTTGGGGTACATTCTGTGGTTTCTCTTTAGTAGATTTACTCTGCTAATTATAATGCTATATTTGCTTGGGTTCTTGTTAATGTTCAATTGCATTCCAGAAGCATATGTCAGCCAGGGTAGGGAAGACAGCCAGAAATGTGTGTAGCACCGGGGGAAAATTGGATCATGCTTAGAAATTAGCCACAATTAATCCCATAAAGTGGATAATAAAAAGTTAGGTGTGACTACAAGTTTTCTTCCCAAATTCTAGGGGCCAAAGTACACCTAAACAAGCTAATCTTCCATCCTTTACCTTCCCATGGCTCCCTAACATTGCCCTCATGTGGAGGAAGCAACTCTAGCATCTGGCTATATAAAACAAGTTTTGTTTCTGTGGGGCCAAAAACCTGGGTAATTATACTCAGAATTTTCCTGCCACATCAGAGAATTACCCATAATTATGTGATAAAATGAAAACGCCTCAAACAGAAGCATACTCTCCAAGCAATTACCGGGGAAGGATGACAGGCAGCTGAAAGCATTTGTGGAGTATCGATCCTTCCCTGTGGGAAGGGGTAGTTATTAAGAAGGAGGTTGGGGGTGGATGGGCTGAGCCAGGTTGGAAGGAGACGGCAGGCAGAGAGCAGTGCTGGCTCACCTGAGCTTCTCTTTGCTGTGCACGAAGCGCACCTTCTTTCCGTTTACATCTTTCCAGCTAAAATGTCCAGCCTTTTCCAGCTGGACCTCTTTGCCATTTCGTGAGAGCAGCAGCTGACCGTTGGTGGGTGTGCTGACAACATGGAACAGCAGATCTTCCACTCTGCCATCCTGGTGTTGAATGTTCAGGAGAGAAAAATCCAGTGGCTTCATTGAACCAATCCCAAGGATCAAGGAGCCATTCACATGAAGACTCGGGGTGTACATTTTGTCTAGAAAACATGAGAACAGAAAGGTCAGACTTGTCATGGTCACTCATTGGATTCCATGTTTTTATTTTAAAGAAATGGCCCTTTAATGCTAATTCAGAGGAGATAGAGGGCATTCTACAACTACAGCATCCTTCTACCCCAGGATTCTCATCTGGAAGCACATGAGGAAAACCAGAGCTTAGGCAGAAGAGTCAGATTGCAAAGTTGTTGGAGGGCAATATAAAAATAAATTTAAAAAATTAAGCTAGCAATTGTTGCTTGGGTATGGAAAAAACAGTATAAGATACAAAAGGGAAAAAAAAACAAATTGACTGGCATCATTAAAGTTAAAAAACATTTGTACTTCAAAACACCAATATTAAAAGCCAACCTCCAGAATGGGAGAAAATGCAAATCCTTAATCTAGGGAAAAAAAGACTTATATTCAGGATATATAGCAGGCTTTTATATCTCAACAATGAAGAGCAAACTAAAAATGCATACAAAGTTGAATAAGCTTTCTCTGAAGATGATCTACACACAAAAGGCCAATAAGCACATAAACAGGCATCCAACATTAGTTGCCAGAATGGAAATCAAAACCTCAATCATATGGCACTTCACGTCTCTTAGAATAGATAATAATTGTTGGCAAGAAGTGAAGACATTACAATCCTCACACATTGCTGATAAGCATGTAAAATAGTGCAATAATTCAGAGATGTAGTCAGTTCCCCAAATAAAATATATTTACCATGTGCCTCAACGATACTATTGGTAGAAGCCATGGAAACTATGTCTCACAAAGATTTGCCTGTGTATGTTCATAATAACATGGCTCTAAATAGTCAAGTAGAAGAAACAATTGATAAAAAGATGGCTGGTTATGTGGCTCAGTGAGTCCCTGCTTACCATGTATGGGTTCAATATTCAATACTAAAAACAAACCACACAGAGGTAAAGAAGCAAATAGATCTAAAGAATGTGGTGTATCCACAAAATGTAGTTACAGTAGCCATAAAAAATGAAAAGGAATGCTATACTGATGACGGCTCTAATATGGATACACTTTGACATTTGGCCAGACATGGAAGCCTGACATGAAAGGCTATGTAAAGTGTGCTTCTACTGATGTGAGATGTCTCGAGTAGGCAAATCTACAAAGACAGAAAGTAAATTAGCAATGGCCAGAGGCTGGGGTGACAGGGAAATGAGCTGAGACTGCTGAAGGCTATGAAGTTCCCTTTTAGGCTGATGAAAATGCTCTGGAATTAGATACTAGTGTGACCGTCACACAACTTTGTGAATATACTAAAGAAAATCACTAGGTAATATAATTTAAAGGATAGATATTTTTGTACATTTTATGTTGAGTTATTACTCAAATAAGGAGGCATATAGGGATATTTTATAATAATGGGGACACAGACTGAACTGCTGAAGATTCTGAATTAGATGTTGTGAGATGGATCTCATTAATTTTATAGACTCCCCAGGCAATGCTAATGAACTGGCAGTTTTGAAGACCACAGTCTTTCCCTGACACACTTGTCACATCAGATCCTGCAAAAGTAAGCAAAGAGGCATGTGTCTGACGCCATTCCTAGAAGAGGTCCAGTTTATCTGCAGAGAAATGGCCAGAGTCAGAATTCATGGGAAGTACATACAAAATGTCACAAATTTTGATTGTCTCTGTCCACACGAAACATCCGATGATGTAGGGTCTTCATAGGTAGAACTGATCTTTTCTACTGCAAAGTATTTAGTCAAGGTCTTTGTCTACCAGTGCTCCCTTCTACAACTAGGTCACAGAGGACAACTTGGGAATGCCAGGTTTCATGGGGGTGACTTCTAAATAAAGTTATTCTAATGAAAGTGAAAGCCATTTTCACAAGTTGACATGTGTGGAATCCCAGGAGTCTTAAGCTGACTCATAGCACCTGCAGTTCCCAGGAAGATTCCAATGAAGGAGGCCAGAGATATATTAGTTTTCTTTTTAAAAAGTTCAAATATCTTTAGAGGTAAAAAATGTGGAGACAGACTATGTGTCTGGCTGTCAGTATTAAAAAATGTCCTGTGTCAATGCTGGGGTTGTAGCTCAAGGGTAGAATACCAGCGTAGAACGCATGGAGCCCTAGGTTCAATCTTCGGTACTGTCAAAAAGAAAAAAGAAAAAAAAAAAAAAAAAAACCCCCATTGATTAACAAAACCCAGGGAACTTTATGCCATGGTGTAACTCTCACACTTTATGAGCCTAAAACACTTACAGGGTTCAAATTGGACTTGACTGAATTTAAATTCGTTTCTCTTTGCTTTTTAAAGTGAGATGTCTTCTGTGTTGGGAGGGATCGTTCCTACTACAGCACCTTCCGATCAATTGATTGACTTCAAATACCTGCAGTTAATAGAGCAGTCTCCTCACACTGTTCATTTCGCTCTTCTCCCCACTGTCTACATAAAAGATGCACCCCAGTACCTCTGCTGAGTTAGCCAGACAAGTTTACACGGACACAAACAATGCATTAGACCTGTAATATGTACGTGATTTCCTAAGGGTTGGCTGCAATTCAAGAACACACCTAAACTTATATTAAATTTCTTCTCTGATAGTTATGACTTTGAAGGTGCAGATCACTTCCTTTTTCATCCCAAGATCAAAGAAATGAGGCATCAGACTTTCCTAATTGCCCATGTTCTACAAATAGTGCTTTATGCAGCAGCAGGGGTTTCCACCTGACAGGAATGTTGAGTTTCATATAACAGGTGTCAGCCATATCTGGAGACCCTTTATCTGCACAGAGAAATGACTGTTAACATCTCGAGACTACCGGCAGAGATGAACTCACCAGTGCAAGTTTCATTAGATGAGTGGCCAGAGAAACCGGGGACACAGGTGGGCATGCAGAGGCCACTCTTCAGAAAGAAGCCATGGCCACATAAGCGACACCCATCTCTGTGGCTGCACTGCAAGCATCCCCGAGGGCAGGCTGCCAAAGAGAAGACACAAGTAAGGCACATCTGCCGGCAGGACCATGCAGGGAAATAAAGAGACCGCAACCAGAAGAGCTAAAATAAATGGCCCCCTCATTGCCATTAACATAGTTTCCCTGTTGATATTTTTAGGGAGCTGATCTCCCTTCAGGAGGAAATGGAATCGCCAGGTCCACTAGTAAATTTATGCAATGCCATCTAAAAATCACAGCATATGAGCGGATGTTCTAAAAGGCTTACTGACTTGTATGAGAGAGGAAGAGCACAGACCTCTCTGGGGGTCTCATTCTTTCTCTACCTCTTACCAGTTATGACCTTAGACAAGCGTCTTTTACAAGTTGGGCTGCAATGTTCTTATACTAACAGTGAGGGGAGAAATAGAACCCAATACAGACAATAGTTGCAAGGATTACAAACATTACAATCTGAAGAACCAGGCACACTGGCAGGGCTCAACTGTCCTACTGCACCACTCCTCACTCTTACCGTGATGACACTGTAATAGCTGTGTCACCTGAGAGTGAGAGCAGTGACAGAAGTATTAACTGCATCTAGACAGCTAGCTATTGAAGGAACCATACAGCTTCTTCTTTGGATCAAGTCAATAACCTTGAAAAGACAGAGTGCTTCATGCTTAATTGTCCTGCTTCCTTAGCTGGTATTTATTATGGTGAAGCTATGTAGGACGGTGTAGGGATCCTGGACTGGAATCAGAAATCTATGTCTAATATGTTGCCTTAACACTTCAAAGTCTCTTTTGTTTTTACACTTGTAAAACAGGCTTCTCACTGTCTACCAATTTCACCAAGTCATTGTGAAGAAAATACGGAGAAATGTAAAACTCAGCGAGTTCTTCCCAAAGCACACTCACCAAAGACTCAAGTTACCTGTGCTTCTTCATGGCATTATTATTATTAAACATCAGGTATTCTTTCTAGTGGGTACACTGGGCAACAGGTTTCAGTAGAAATGAGAGCAAAAAATGATCCCCACACAAGGAGGTTAAGACTTTGGGTTTAACTTCAGTTTAATAATAAAAGCTTTAGTATTTCTCACTAAATTATTGCCTAAATCCTATTCTTCAAGGCTATAATATCAATATTGGGGTCATGAGTGATTTAGTCTGCATGCTGAAAATCCTATGTCCATATCAATATGGCTGATCCACTCTTAATAGGTACTTCAGAGCCATTCAATATAAGCTTTCATTCCATAAAATGCTGGCATCGTTTCCACAAAGACCTTTAGGAACAATATTGATTCCTGCGAGAGAATTATTGGGCTGCACTCCCGAGTCCTGTTTAACCACCACCTGGCAGACATACATGGGAAGCTATCAATTACTTAGAGCAAGCTCCCTGACTGATTCTGCATCTATGTGAGATGTTCCTGGTTACCTGACAATTAATGCACGTGACTTACTGGCTGCCCCGAGTTCCTCCTAAAGCACTAAGCAAAGACTCAAGTTACCTGTGCATTTGTGTTTTGCATGATCTGGGAAGTATCCTTTCCCACATTCTTGGACACACTGAGCTTGGAAGAGGAGAAACGGCTCTTCACAGCGTGTGCACTCATGGGGACCTTGGCACTGGAGACAGTGGCTGCTGCAGCCTGAAAGATAAAAGTTAAGTCAACAGGAATTTGTGTAGTCTTCCAAGTGGGTTCTGGGCACTTATCACAAGGGTCAGGTATAAATAGGATCTGTTCACCAGGCAAAGCAATCCAAGAAAAGCTAGGGACCCCAGCTTCTGGTTTCAACCACTACAACTATCAGTGGAGGACTTGGGACTAGTCACTCTACCTCTATGAACTTCCATGTTCTTCCCACATAACAGAAGTGAAAATACTGTCCCAAACTCCTCCTGGGGAGTTTGAATCACATAATGGAAATGCTTGATAAATATTAATTTTTATTATAATTATTTATCAGTCTTTATTTATTATTGGTTCAAATTCTTAGGTATACAAAGCTTTCTATCTAGAGAACAGGACCATTAAATGTTGAAGGACATAGAAATTAATAGTTGACATAATAAATATGTTTGTGTGGGCATATAACACAATGGTTGTCATGCTGACATCAGATTTTAACATATTTCTATTAGGGTTTTGTCGAAGGAAAAGGAAGTTGTCACTGATAACAAAGATAGCCCTGAGGAAGGAAACCAGGACCAGCAGAAAAGCCAAACGAAAATTTGCCATGGGCTCCATAGAAGTCAGAGAGACTTACGCTTACAGAAGCCCGAGTCTCGGTAGTGCTCGACTGAACACTGCTCCATGCACACACCATCCTGGAGAACATAGCCATCCATGCATTGCAGGCAGTCTGTTCGAAGAGGCCCACTACAGGCATTGCAACTCCAATCACATTCTAGAAAGAAAGTCTACATTAGATCAGCTTTCTTTCAGTCTTTCGTTAGTCCCAGCAATCCATTTAGGAGGCCACAGTCTTTGACTGTGAGAGGTAAAGTAAGGACAACACAAGAGATGTCAGATAAGTGAGGTGTAACAAAGCCCCAGCTTGTAGACATTTAAATGCTTCTCTGAGGCTTAGCATTTCCTAATTATGTCAAACACAGGCATGAACAAGGAGCAGTCCAAGCCTGGGCAGAGCCCACTTGTCAACAGGGCTGTGGCTGAAGAGTCAGATCAACTTGGCCTTATTCCAGGGGCACCTGAGTACTTCAGTCTCATGCCACCCCAGTTCTTCATGGCAAACCTACCTAGGGAACAAGGCTGCCCCACAGAAATAATCCTGACCTCTAAATACTCAGGGCTCACAAGGTAAAGAGCTATCAGACACATAACTAAGAATGATGCTGCCCACATTGACACCAGACTCATGACTCTTCCTATTTAGAACCTGATGGGGACAGCACGGAAGAAAGAATAAATGATGTAAAAAGAACGTTCCAGAAAGAAGGGGGTTATTTGACAATGAAGGACCTCATTTAGGGTAGAACCAAATTGTTTGAATGTTCCTCTGTTCAACAAGCACCTTTAGGGACACAGTTCACTGCACCTGGAGAACATAAAAGTGAGACATGTAGATCCTGGCCTCAAAGAACTTGTGCCGCAGTAAGGCCAACCTTGGATGTGAACCTCAACAGTGCAGAGAGATCAATAGAAACATTCATCAGGCTCAGCCTCATATCTATTAAGTTGGGAGTCTTGGGGGCTGGGGCATGGGGAAGAATGCTGCTGCTCTTATTGGTGATCTTGTTATAATCATGATCATGTTTATAGCTGGCATTTTTGATGTCCCAGGAAACAAACACTGATGCAATAAGAGAGCTCATGTTTAAGAAGCAATGTTCTAGTTGGTCTTTCATACCTGGGGGATGGGAGGAAACAGCCTGGTGAAACATGTGAATTTTGAAGTTGGGCAAGTCTATTAAATCATCATTTTTTTCTGTATTTCTCTGTCTACCTTCCTCAATCCTTTGGGGCTTGAATTAAATATATACTAGTGCCCATTTACTAAGGCCCTGGAGAGACAAAATGAAACAATGAATGTAAAAAATTAGCACAGAGGCTGGAGGTGGAGCCCAGTGATACAGCATGTACTTAGGATCCCTGGGTTCCTGGCTTCAATCACAACAACTAAGTAAATACAATGCCCCGTATACATTAACAGCTCAATAGAGGTTCGTGGAAGAACTTAGAGAACATATTTCTTAGAGAACATATTTCCACTCAAGGCCATCTCAAGTCCATTTTCCTACCCAGCTATGAAGCTGGAAGAACTCATTTCTCTATTCCTTCACACAGTACTTCTAAGGCCTTAGGTAGCAGGCACATGTGCAAGATGATACATGTGCTCCGAAGGTATATAAAATTAATCTCCTTCATTTATAGGGTTGAGTCAGTCCTGGGGGAAAATGACTAAAAACAGAGCTGTGAAAAGCAGCAGTTATGAAATCATTTACTACACAGAAGATCTGAAAAGAATCTTGTTTTTCACCACAAGCTGACAGCCCATGGTTAGAAAGAAAAGAACAGAAAAGTTCCTGTAGTTGTGAACATGGAAGACCACCTAAGTTGACAACCAAGTCCAATTTCTTAGAACGGAAAGTATGCAGAGGCTGAGAGTTTCCCGAGTTTACTTGACAGACATTTGACCTCTGATTAGGAGCTGAACCATCTCTGCCAGAACGAGAGGGTTAGAAGGAAACATGGAGAGAAGCAAGGAGGAGTCAAGGAAATCAGTTAAATCCCGTTTTTCCTACGCTGAACTCTGCCACAAGACTTCCAGCTACTGCTGAACAAGGAAAAGATATTTGGGGTTTTCACCCATTTGAGTATGCTAAGTAGAGATAACAATTCAGACGTAAGTCTTCACTTGATTAAGTTTACAGTCAGATAAATCAGGGCTGCAAATGTAAACACTCACAGGCCCAGGGAGGTAATGGACATCTTTAGAAGAACCCTCATGTAATAGAGGGAACAGGAGGAGCTACAGTGAGGCAGGGATAAGAGCTGTGCAGTCTAACCTATAGTTGTACTATAGCAATGTAATCAATTCTACTATTATTAGATTGCTGAACTTCCCCAAAGAAATAGACAATCTCAAGTGTTATATTTCCGGTGTGAAAAGAGATAATCAGAATTTCAATACATCAGGACATGAGACGGGCCAAACAAAGCACATCTATAAACAAATGCAACTAAAGGTTTTGTTTGCCATTTGCTACCTCTTGTCTACTTGCCAATGCCAGATACAATGTTGGGCAATTTGAAGGAACCCAAACAATTTGCCTAATGGATGCATAAATGTGTGAATAAATGAATGAAGGCATCGTTGTTTCACAGAAAGTGGGAAACATCTGACGAAAGTGTTTGCCTAAGATGAGGAGTGGGTATCTAGAGTAAAGAAACATCCCCGAATAAAAGCATCCCTACACAGCTCAGGGAAACCTTTACCTCTGCAAGTCTTGGTGGAGATGTCGAGATAGTACTGGGGGGCACAGCTCTCATAATGGCACTCTCCAAAGAGCAGGACCTTGCTTGGCTCTCGGCAGGAGGTGCAGCTGCCCTGTGAGTCACAGCTTCTGCAATGCATGTTGCATGCTGAGTGGAGAGGAAAGGGAAATGACCAGATGATTACAACCACAAATACAGAGGCACTGAGCAATGCCAGACAGATGCTGCAGGAGAACAAAGCCCCACTCCAGTTCCCTTTAATTATGGCCCATAACCTTCCTCTGTGAGCAAGATACAGAAAATATTAGTTTTATTTTCCAAAATAGAAGAAGGGAATCTATTTTCCCAGAGATGAACATAAATCCAAGCACAAGAATCCCATATCCAAATTGTTCTGTGATTTAGCAACAGAATTCATACTGACTCTAAGACCAGTGACTTCATTTGAACATTACTTAGGAAATCAACCCCTCTCCCATCATTTATGTTATAGATACATATTATTTTTAGGTGACAACTTTATTGTGGAGATTGTGAAATCCTGTATTTTAAGACACTGAACTTAGACGTGACCTGGTTTATTGGCTTACCCAGTTGTAACTCTCTGTAGCCAGGCACATAATTGATGCATTCAGGGAGTGCCCTGAACTGGTCTACTTGCATCTCTCCAGTTTAACAACCACCATTGCTCCTTCTTTTTATTTATTCATGTTGGAGGGAAATGAGTTCATCACAAACTCTGGAAGGCAGATATGTGGACGAGGGGGCTTGTTCTTTATTGCTCCACAAAGAAATTCTAGAGCCAGTCAGAAAGAACAGGCCAACCAGTCCTCCTAACGGGGGTGATGGTTTCTTTAACTCACCCATCCCTGCTCAGGTTTCAAGGCTGGCTCAGATACCCTGGAGCTCTTCTCCAACTCCAATACACAGTGGGTCTAGTACTGAATAGTTAACTTATCAGAGTTCCTACCTCTTCTGGTTACTCCTTCTTTTTAAAGTTTGATTTATAAAAAGATTTATTTATTTTATGTACAATTACTCTATGGGAATATATGAGTTTATGCCAGAAGACCACATAAGATTCCATTATAGATGGTTGTGAGCTATCCATGTGGTTGCTGAGATTGAACTCAGGGTCTCTGGAAGAGCAAAGAGTGCTATTGACTCCTGAGCCATCTCTCCAGCCCCCCATGTGGTTACTCTTAAATTCCAGGGTTAAGAGAATTCACTTCCTAAATTCATTTTTAAAACAGGAATCTTGTGAGTCTCACGGCAACACAGTCATCACTGCTTCCCATAATGCTGGCTACACACAATTCCTCAAAGGCCCTTTACCATACAGTTTCTAAAATTGGCACAGTATAATTAGCTATGATGAACACTACAAAGGGGCATTTCTGATTTTTTTGTTTGTTTGCTTGTCTTATGCAACATAACCTCAACCCAATTCAGTGGCTTACTTTAGTCAATTACAGAAAAGACTGAAACTTAAAAATGAGAGTTAGGTTCTTAATTCAATGGAAACTCTCCAGGAGATGCCATTTCCATGGTATCACAGCAGTTTGTGCAGGGATCACCCTGAAGCAAGGGAAAAGGCATCCGCAAACAGAAGTATAGCAAAGCAATATGCTTTTGTCACCTATTCTTCATACAAGAGATTCTGTTTATTTCTTTGAGTTCCTATTTCTTTGATTCTGAGGCTGTGAAGATCCTCATAAATCTAAGTCACTATTTCTCCACCAACAAACCCTCTCTTGCTCTTGAATAGAGATGCAAGTATTTCATTCCTGTGGCTGCTGTGTCACAGATCTCTTGAATAGAGATGCAAGTATTTCATTCCTGTGGCTGCTGTGTCACAGACTGTGCCAGTCCTGATAGACAGCTGATGTATGCCAAGCTGAGTTTTCATCACAAATGTGAGGAGATCTTCCCTTTGGTACAAAAGAAGTTCCTATCTTCAGTAATTCAACAGATGATGCAAAATTTTGGGGTTTTATATAGCACCTTACAAATATTAATGCTTATACACAATTCAGTGAACTAGGAGAGGCACCATTCTTCCTGTCTCTATCTATAAAAGTAGCTTTTATTGAATGGTTAGCTTTTCATTCCTGATGGGATTGACAGCAATAACTAATCTATGGTGAAAGAAATCATACTTTCTGCTACGGTCTGTGTTAAGTGCTACAGTGTTAGGATGTAGCTACTGTTATAATTCCCCCACTGCAGTTTGATTGAGACACGATTTCCACAGGCTTACATGTGGGTACCAAATGGGCAGTTGTTTGGAAAGGTTGCAAAAATTTTAGGAAGTGGAGCCTCACTGGAATAAGTGGATCACTGAGGGTGGCTCTTGAGGCTTTACAGCACAGCAACAATTCCTGTTAACTCTCTGCTTCCTAGGTGTGGATGTAATGTGTCCAACCAGCCTTTTGTTCCTGCCACTATGACATGAATGCATTCTACAGGTCTTCTCCTTCATGGTAGACTGTATCCCCCAGAACAACATTTCTAAATAAACCCTTTCTCCCATATGTTGTCTTTGTCAGGGTATTTTCATCACAGCAAAAAAAGTAACCAAAGACATTCCCCCTTTATAGAAAGACACCAAGATCAAAGGTGAATTGGTTTGCATAAGGGCATAATGCTGGTAAGTGACATTAACACTTAGACTTCTAGAGTACCCCCAACTCTCAAGACTCCCCAAAGTCACTAGTCTATAGTGCCTTCAACATGAGAAATCCTACAACATAAAATTGATATATCACCACTGTATTTGTTCACAGTGATTTCCAAAGATATAACAAATACCTAAGGGATTTATTTATTTTTATTTTATTTATAGGGTGCTTTCTCACATGGATGTATGAGTACTACATGTGTGTAGGGCCCATGAAGGGAACACCTAATCTGCAAATGAAGTAACAGAAGGTTGTAGGGTTCCATGTGTGTGCTGGCAAGCCAACCCAGGCCCTCAGCAAGAAGAGCAGCAGGTGCTTGCCACTGCTGAGCCATCTTCCTAGTCTGACAGTTTATCTGTTCCTTCATCTGTGAAGAATGTCCTAATTGTTTTCCAGACCAGTTCTCTAATATACCCAAACATTTTATATCCAATTCAGTGTAATTAACAATAACCATACTTGTTTGAGATGACATTTATACATGTACCTCTTGTATAAGAAAAGAATAACTTGTATTTTGGGATGAAGAGGAAATATTTTACACATGACACCTTGCTCGTTGTCAGTATCAATAGATAAAGAGAGAAGATAAGTTAAATCCACTGATGTGCAAACCCACTGACCGTGTACCAGCACAGACTCCTGCTCTACTCAGGATCAAAGGGCTGGATTGTTCAGATGACCATGAAGAGACCGACTGATACATCTACTTTATATGAGATAACTGCTGCGGAGAAGTTAAATAACTCACCCAAGATCACACAGCTACCACTTAGAAAGGCGAGCATCTTATACTGGGCTGATATCTAAGCCATGGTCTGCTAATGGCATCCATATTGCCTTTGCAGGTTAGCTTCTTTTCTTATATAAAACAAAGGGTACTGGAGGAGAAGGTGAAAGCAAGAACTTCACATTTCTTCCCAAGGCCCAGAAGAGCAGTGGGGAGACAGCTCAGTAAACTTACGTTGGCACACTTGGTTATCATCCGGGTAATGCCCAGGGAAGCAGGTGGTGCTGCAGGTACCAATGTGGGTCAGAAGCAGACCAGTGGCACATGAGGAGCAGGAGAAAGGTCCTCCATTCTGGCAGCTCCTGCAGGAAGAATGGCATCCTACAGAGGGAAAAGAGACACGAGTAAAACTATGATCTCCGTGTGATGTTTGGTATTGTCAACTTGCCATGATTTAGATGTACTAGGAGGCAGACCTCCATGTATGTTTGTGGCAGAGTTTCTAGGCGAGGTTAACTGAGGTGGGACAATGCTGTCTAAATGTGGGCAGGACCATTGCGTGGGCCGAGGTCCTGGACTGACTACAAAGGAAAAATGTAAACTGAACACCAGTGCTCGTTTTCTCTCTGCTTCCCAACTGAGGTTGCAGTGGAACTAGTTGTCTCAAGCTCAGCCCTCCTCCCCACCTCCCTGCCACAAAGGGCTGTACCTTCCAACTGAGAGACAAAACAAGCTCCTCTTTGCTGAACTAGCTTTATCCAGCTATTCTGTCCCAGCAGTGAGAAGACAATGAAGGCATCCCCCCAAAAGCAACACGTGAAAATGAAGACTTCAAATAGGGCACTCGCTGGGCCAGGCTGCAGCCCTGCACCCACCCTTCCAGCCTCCGTTCTCCTCAAGACACCAAACCATTCTGTGATGTCAAAAGAACTTCATCAGCATCCCAACCCTGTCCCAGACCAGCACTTACTCACTTTTACAAGTGCCCCTCTCTGCATAGTGTCCAGGAGGGCAGTCAGCAACACAGTGATCCCCGAGTAGCAGGTGGCGGGCATGCTGGCATTTTAGGCAGATGCTACCAGTGTCGTGGAGGTTAGCCACGCAGTGCTGGCACAGAGGATGGCAATCTGGAGAGAGAAGAGGAGGGAAACAAGCACTGACGTTCATACGCCAAGGTCTAATCAGTGCACCACAGGGCAGAGGGGTTCAATTACCACAGCTGCAGTTCAGCCATCTGGAGAGGAGCCCAGAGGTCACACCCTAGTAAAGCAGAAGCTGAGGATTTGAACAAATGGAGGGCTTGAGGTTTTTAGTAAATGGTTTTAGTAAATGCTAGACCCGGCACAGCAATTGAGTTTTCATTTCTTTCCAATTGAATGACCTTCAAGTACTAGGGCTTTGTGTGGCAGATACTTGACATGGTAGAGAGACCCGTCAGTCCAAGAGAAATGGCAAGATCAGTGTAACTTCTCCCCCCAGGAGCAACAGCCCTCGAGGGCTTGGAGTCCTCATCCCAGCACAGGCTATGGAGCCTGCCACAGGACTCCTCCACATGGCCTCCAGGGCCAGCACTCCAGTCGGCCTTTGGCATGGGGAGAGTGGGGTGGGTAGATAATTGGATTGAGTTGCTTGAACACTTTAGTCTTTAAGTGAAGATGGGATTATAACGAAGGGCTGTGAGCAGAAAAATCATTTTCACCACCTGATAGATGATTCTCAGCAGCTCTGTCATACCAGCTGTGATTAAAGCCATAAAACAAATTGTCTGGTGCAGTCAGCACTCTCTTGTTCTCACTCATATAATAGTCAACCCTTAATAAAGAGCTCAATCGGGTTCAGCCTCCATTGTGTGTGAACACTTCTTCGGCTCTGCCTTCAAGTGGTAATTACCTCAAAGTCTCCTTCATAATCCTTCATCTCCACAGCAGAAGAAACCTAGGGATCCTAATCACTGCCAAGCGAAAATAATTGTGGTGTAGGACAGGGAGAACGGACTCTGGCTTTAGGTCCTTCCATGTTTCCCCCAGGGCACTCTAAGCACTTGTTTGTACCTGCTCCTACCCTACCAGGGCTCGGATGTCTTGTTTCATCTCTTGGTATTATAGGTCATGCCAGTGATCTGGGCCACATTTGCTCTATTTTTTTAAAGCTCACGTCAGGAACACAGATTGCATCCATGATCCCTACTAAAAGAGATCTGGCTTCTGCTCTTTGGGAGAAACATTAATGTTGATTTAACTATTGATCATCTACAAATATTCTCAGTACAGGAAGCAGGTTTCATTCCCACACCAGCACTCCAATCAGTGTGAGACCCACTACTGCTGCCCTAGAAATTAAGTCAAAGTGTCCTCTTCAAAAATGCCGACTCTTATACTATCATACAAACTGAGATATGGTGATAGATGATTTATGATCTAAAAAAGCCACTGAAGATCAGGAAAGCAAAGCAGCCAGCCTCTAGCTCTTATCTCTACCTCAGACTGAGGGGGCAATTCTGGCTCCACGAATCATCAGTGTGGCTGGAGACTGAATGCCCTGCTCCTATCTTACATACCTCTCTAGTGCTGGGATTAAAGGCATGAGCGCTGTTTATCTGTTAGACTGATTGACTCTCTTGTAGCCCTGGGTGGCCTTGAACTCACAGATATCCATCTGCCTCTGTCACCTGAGTCCTGGGATTAAAGGTGTGTGCCACCATCGCCCAGATACTATGGCTGTGGCTAGCTTTGCATTCTGATTGATCTTCAATGGCTTTATTAGATCATAAACAATATATCACCACACCAAGGCCCCTGACCTTTTACTGAACTTGGGTGTTTCAAATAGCAGGCAGCCTTTCCCCGGTATTAGAGACAATACATGATATCCTAGGAGTCAAATGAATCCTTATTACAGTCCTTTAGTACATCATCAAGGAAATGGCAACTGCACTAAGGGAAATATGAGAAGGAGGCTGTTCCCTGATCCCCATGGCTGTGTATGACTTGCATATTGCCAAGGGCTTTGTTCTTACCCTGTGCTGCCCTCACAGGGTAGAAGCACAAACCTGGAGGTGGGCCTGAAGAAGTTAAAATGCTTCAGAAAATAGAGCAAATGAAGGTAGTGCTCTATGAGGATGAAAGCCCAGGAAACACTCGCTACCTAGTGAAGCCCTGTTGGCTGGGGTGCCATGAGCTCTTCCTCCTCCAGGCAAGTGTGAGCAGAGCACCCTGGGTTTGGGCACGGGTGGACAAGATTTGCAGATGTTCCATTGGGCTAGAGAACAGCTGCACTGACTGAAGCTTTCCCAGCTAGAGACACGAAAGAGAATCATCATCACGGGGACACTTTGAAGACAAAGTAAGCAGTCTCTGGCGTAGTCTGAGGGTGTAATAAATCAGTATCTATTGACTTGTCTGATCTTGGGGATCTCTGCAAGCTGTTTGCATGAGAACAAAATGTGCATGCAGCACATTATCTAGCTGTGGCTGGACTACAGACAGCCCCTTTTGCTCTTTTAACAACCATCTTGAAACTCTCTCTACTCCCTCCAAGATATCCCAACAACACACCCACCAAGTGTTCTGGTTGACTTCACTCAGTCCATGTGCATCGTGACCTCCTCTTGTTCCTTTCAGTTGGGAACATCTATCTTTACTCATTTTTACCCCATTTTCCACCTCACTGGACTCCTCCTGACATGCTGGATTCTGTTACCAGTGCTCTCCCCCACCTCTTTACCCTCTCCTTGACCCAACTCCTAAACATGCTGCACGCGACCTCCAGCCCCCAGAGATTTCTGTACTAACATCTTGGCTCGATGCCTTTCTCTGACCACCTGTTACTGCCTTGGTTGTAAAATGCCCCTCACCAGCTCCTATGTTTGGACACTCAGTTGGAAATGCTACTTTCTGAGGCTGTGAGGTCTTCAGGAAGGAGGGACAACCTGGAGGAAGTGATTTGCTGAGTTTGGAGAAGTAGGCCTTGAGGTTACAGTTCAGCCTGGTTTGTAGCCTCATTTTATCTGCCTCCTGGTTACCCAGTGTTAGCGAGCCACTACTCTCTCCTACCACCTAATGCAACATTTCCCCCACCATAATGCAGGGTATCCCTAAAACAGTCAGCCAAAATGAAACCCTTCTTCCCTTGACTTGCTTCTCATCAGACAGTCGGCCAGAGGAAAAGAATTACTAATGTACCACCCAGCTTCCTTCACTTCTAACACCACCTCAGAGTGTCCTGTTCCAGTCTCCACAACTGTCTTGACAGGTCTCTAGTGGACAATAAGTGACAAAATTGACTGGATTCCTCCATATTCTATTAGAAAGCCCACAGCATGTGACACTTCTGACCAGCCTTTCTCCTTGAAGTACTTTCTCTCATCTTAGCATAGTTTATCCTATCTCAACATTGGTTGGTTCCTCTTTCTGTGGTTCCAATTGACAGATAAACATAGGAATTCACTACAGTCCTTGTGACAGTTAATCTTGATCATCAACTTCAGATTTAGAGCCACACCTTTGGAATTCTCTAAGGCAGTGGTTCTCAACCTTCCTAATGCTGCGAACCTTTAATACAGTTATGTTGTGCTGACCCCCTACCAAAAAATTATTTTCGTTGCTACTTCATAACTGTAATTTTGCTACTGTTAGGAATCATAATGTAGATATTTGTGTTTTCCTGTTTGACCCCAAAGGGGTCACAACCCACAGGTTGAGAACCACTGGTCTGGTGTTGTTTAAATGCAGAAAGAAAGGCTTAAATGCAGAGGGAAGACACATCTTCAACACGAGTGGCACTATTCTCGTAGGCTGGGGCCATAAGCTGAATAAAAAGGAAGAAAGCTGGCCAAACACCAGCATTCATCTTTCATTGTGCCCATACCTCACATTTCTGCTGCCATATCTTCCCCACAGAGCTTTCCCTACCATGCCTTTCTCTGTTCCAAGTATTATCATAAGCTAAAAGCCCAAACAAACCCGTCCTTCCTCAGGTTGCTTCTTCCAGGTATCTAATCACAGCAAAGGGAAGAGGAGCTAATGTACCCCTCCATAACTTCTGTCCTCCCAACTATGTCTGTGGGAACCACAAAGCAAACATGGCAGGCTGTATGCATTCAGATCCCAGAGGCCAGTGGGAAGGGCTCAAGAGTGCAGACTGCAATCACTCAGGGCTTCGGCTTCCTTCCATAGCTCCCTGTTAAAGCAGCCGTAGGAAAGAAGGCATCCATCAATCCCATGGCATATCACAGGGCATGATAGAGTGAATACCCAGAGGCGAAGAAGAAATCAATAAATGACATCTGAAAATATAAAAGTCAACCACGAGTTGCCCACAGTGTCACATTCATCCAAGTTAGATTACAGCTCTGCCTTCCACGGGAGGTTATAACTACTTCAGTTTGAAAGTTGGACTTTCTAACTCTTTTTGTTCACTGCCTATATTTATTCTACTGTTCAAAAAGTCACATTGGATACCCAATCCTATGAATAAATTCATTCCAAAACAACAATCTGAGGGAGTTCCTGTATTAATCCCTTCACCTAAACCTCCCCTCCCACTGCTGTCATACGAACACCAGCTCCAACAAACCACCACTAAAATAAATATGTGGTGGAATCCCGCTATGAATCATGGTTGGTTGACTGATTTTTATTATGCCAAGGAAAAGAAGAATAATAAATTTCTAAAATCTAGGAAACAGCTTTTTTTCCCCAGAAGCTTGAAATCAAAATCTTTTTGGAAAAAATTCCTTGGGAGACCTCAGTATGATGGATGACACAGGAAGGAAGCCAGAAACCAGGGCAACAAGAGCCCAAGGATCAATACGAATGTTCTGACTTACATTTAAAGAAGTATTGTCCCCTAGGGCAGACACCAGAGCTCAGGACATCGAGCCACAAGTGGCCAGTCCCACTGGTCACCACCTGTGAGCTGGCTTAAGGCTCTATCCTGAAAGCTGCCGTGTTCTACATAGAAGAGAGGCTATGCAGCATTCAAAATATGATTGAGAACTTTATTTCTCTGGTGGCAAAACTATCCATAGAATAAGATATGGAAAATAATTCTTCAAAGTATAAACAAAAACCAAAAAACACTTTAGGAATGCTTGTCAGAATTCAGAACAGCTGATGTTGACATTCTA